AAGAAGGAGGAGGAGGAGGAGGAGGAGGAGGAGGAGGTGAGTGATCGCGTAGGGAAAAACGCGTTAATTGAGGAGGCCGCGGGAAAGTGCGTCGTGGAGATAAACGGCCTGAGCGATAAAATTATTTCAAAGCCGGCTTAAATAGAGTAAATCGTGTGGTAGGTAAAGGGAAGAAGAGAGTAGGAAGAAACAGAAAGAGAAAGAGACATAGAAGGCGTTGAAATAAACGGCCCAAGTGCCAGCTAACGGGGCAGACCTCGAGGGCTGGACGAAGAGAAAGAGAGAAAGAGAGAAAGAGAGAAAGAGAGAGAGAGAGAGAGAGAGAGAGAGAGAATGAGCTGGTAGAGAAGCCGATAAATAACCACTGGTTTATTAGCGAGATAGACGAGAGGGTGAGGAGAGTGCGGTTAAATTAGCAAGAATATTAGTACGCGTTCGCGCCAGCGCTACTCTCTCTCTCTCTATCTCTCTCGCTCTCCTTCTCCTATTTGCTCTCTTTCTCATCGTATCGCGGATTTAACAGGCACAAGCGACGACTGCATTCCCCGAAGGAGAAAGTACATAGTACCTACCTACCTACCTACCTAGCTATCCACCTACCTACCTACCTACCTACCTACCTACCTAGCTACCTAAGAGTTACCATGCGCGAAGAAAGGAGGGCGAGACTCGGCGTAAGTAATAACTGGGGTAGATTGCTCTGGGGTTGTGTACGCGCGAGCGATCAAGTAGCAAAGGCTACGACTTATCGGACATTTCCCGTACGATTTCGTTTCTCCTTTTTCAAGCCGATAAAAAATTGTTACCTAGTTATATTTAGACCGCGTACGATGTTATTTTCACTGAGAAAACCTTCCTTAGACACTTTCGTTAACGAATTTAAGAGCTACGTGATTTAGAAACGTTCGCGTGGAAACGGCGTGACGGCTCGTTTGAACGAGTTTTACTACGTAGAGTAGTAACTCGTAACATTTTGGGTAGGACCGAAACGTAGAGTAGTTTTCTTTGCGATTCTTGTAGGATCGTTTACGCGCTCACCGAGAGCTTCTACCGGGGAGAATTACACGCGGTAACAAGCTGGCAACGATTCTAACTACTGTCCGGGCGTTGATATATGTGACGGAAAATTGTGGGCGAAGGGACGACGTGGTGGAATACCGACGAGAAAGAAGGAGAAGAAGGAAAAGGAAAGGAATAACAACGTTTAGGGCAAACTAAAGTAGGGAGAAGAAGATCTTTTCCGTCGGAATGAATTTCACCCTGGAAATAAAGGAAATTATAGAACCGGCGAATGGAAGAAAAATATTTTATTTAAGAATTATTTCATTTGTCTCGCGTATTCTAATTAGAAGCGGTTATTTCTAATCCTACGTCGTCCTCGTCGTTTCGTTCCCGCGTCTCTTAATCGAGACGAGGAGGAACGCCGCGTCGGCTAACAGCAACGAGCACCAGCGAACGCTCCGCTCGCTGGCGCGTTGCAACGGGCCACGCTCTAATTGCATTACGGAAACATGAGTTTCCCTCGGTGAAATATATCACGAAACTTATCGCGCCACGAAGAAATTGCCGTGGTGCTTCGCATGCACTCTCTCTCTTTCTCTCTCTTTCTCTCTCTCACTCTCTCTCTCTCTCTCTCTCTCTCTCTCTCTCTCACGTTCTCTTTCATTCTCTCTGAAGCGCAAGCTTGGATCCGCCTACGTGCAAGCCCTCGTACCTGGCCACCCACGCCAGAGCCATACCTTCTTCGTACCTGTCCTACGTATATTTTCTAACGCTTTTGCCCCGACCATCTATATCAGTCATGATTGAACGTAATTACAAATACTGACGATTATTGTTCATGCGAATATTTTTCTATCCTTTATATCCTTGAATATCGTCGTCTCACACTGGTCGCCGTGACTAAAGGTCGACAAAAAAAATCTCGTTGGTATTAGCGCGAGCCAAAGGAAACGATTTAGACGATTCTAATGTAAGAGAAAAAGGAAAATAGATAATCCCGTGATATAAGCGTCGAATACGTTGGTACGAGATATTAACGAAATACGAGCTAAGCGAAAGCCCGAAAGCCTCTTGGGTTCTCCCCCTTCCATTTCCCCCTTTACTCGTGAATAGGCAAAGATCAGTACGTTCAATCCTCTGCCAAAAAAATTCCAAATCGACGACTATCGCTGAGAGTTTATACTAACGCTTTTCCGTAATTGCGGAAAGAAGAGAAAACGAGGAACGGATGGAGTTCTCTCTCTCCTCCAGTGTGAAAAATTCGTTAAGTGTCTTGGTGCCGTGCCTTACCGCGAGACTTGATTTGTGCTCAATTACGCTCGTCGTGGACCAACATTCCTCTTTCTCTTTTCTTTTTTTTTTTTTCTCTTCTTTTTTTTTCTTTTTTTTTTTTTTTTTTATTTCCCCTACCCCTCCCGCTCTTCGCCTATCCACCACTCCACCAACATCGTCCTCGTTCCCTCTTATTACTCTCGCGAAGAGAAAGAGAAGCCGAAGAACACGATTTTATTTATAAATGCGTGCGACGAACCACCCGCGTCTACGTGGCGTCGCGAAAGTAAGGAGAACGAAGAGGAATTTCGAGGAGACGAAGGAAAGAGTAGGATGCAACGAGCGATTCGTTTCGCATTTTATATCCGCGCGTGAAATCGACCGCCACCTCCGGCTCTTCCTTCTCTTTCTCCTCTTCTCTCTCTCTTTCTCTCTCTCTCTCTCTCTCTCTCCTTCTCTCTCGTTCTCTCTCTTTACCCCTTTACTTTGAGATTCGCCTTCATCTCTCGTTGATTCCTCTTCCGTTAGAACGAAACGATACGGACCGTAACACTCGGATTATTTCGATCTTTGCTCCTTCTAAAGTTAGCCGAAGAGATTACCACGTCGCGACGTACTTCTCTCACGTCCAAGAAAAAGAGATGGAAGAGAAAGGATAGAGTCCTTCTTCCGACGAGTTTAAAGGATAAAGAGAGGAATACTTGCAAGGCGCCTAAATATCGTCGCGAGTAAACAAGGGGAGACCCTTCTTCGTAATTCGGATATTCTGGCGCAGGTGCCACGCGCCAGAACATCTATCAAGATAGAAAGATAGAAGACTCGAAGGGAGACCGAAGAAAAAGGGAGGGAAAGGGGCCGCGAGTTGACGCGAGAGGAACGGTGGGAGGGAGAGAGATTGCCGAGTAGTGGTCTAGGTTCTGAGGATCAACCCGAAGAAACGGGGATTTCGTGAGACAGGAGAAACTAAGCTCCTCTTTTCCCTTCTCTTAACCCTTTCTCCTACCTAATATCGAATCCTTGGGAATTAGTATTCTCTCGCATGAACGTGAATCCTTTGGAGCTTTCATAGCCTCTGTCGCTTCTCATTCCTGATTACGTATCGATTCACGTAAGTCGTTCTCGATCGGGATACGTTCTAAATACACGCGAACTTACCGCGACCGTACTAAATTACGCGTCCGGCTAAATCGCAAGCCACGGTAAAGAGAGTCGTAAAACTTTAGCCAAGCAATTACGAGCCAACGAGCCTTATCTTTTAGCAATCTTTAACGCAACCCTTTTCTTCTTTTTTTTTTGTTTTTTGCTTTTTTGCTTTCTTTCTTTCTTTCTTTCTTTCTTTCTTTCTTTCTTTCTTTCTTCGATCGTACGCAGAGAGAAGGAGGAAGGCACGAGAGAAAGAGAATTTTTTTTTACATATAAGTTGTCCAATAGATCCACATATCTTCGCGATAGGGGCGTGGAGAGATCGAAAAAAAAAGTCGCTCGTCGTTTGCGAGCACAAAGACGGCGAGTTTCGTAACTCGTTTCGAGTATCCTCGAGAAATATCCTTCGAGCTGCCTACGCTAACGACGTTTCGACCGTTTTGCTCGGTTAAGAATGCAAGTCTATACCGAGTGCATCGTATAACTTGATAACTCTTACTTATTTCAATGCTAAAAGAGAAAAAGAGAAAGAGAGAGAAAGAGAGAGAGAGAGAGAGAGACAAACATATGGTTCAAGCGAAGAAGTTTATATCCGCGAGAACATCTCGAATGAGTTTTTCTCAAGAATGAAAATTCTATGTAAAAGCGTTTAATGCTTTTATCGGTCATAAAACTTTTATTACTAGGTACGACTAAACTTTTCCGCTTAGAAAGTACAAGTCGAAGGACAAGTCGAAGGAACGCCTACGAGCATGTTAAAACTGTCCTTCTCTTTATCTATCTCAGGTAAAATAAAATGGACGAAAAAAATAAAAGAAAAAAAAACAAAAAAAAAACAAGAAAAAGAAAAAAGTAACGAAGAGGTAGCAAAAGAAAAGTAAATTCGGAAGGACGTGGAGGAGATAAGGATAAAGTAAAAGAGAAAAAAAAAAAAAAAACAAAAAAAAAAAACAATAAAAAAAAAAACAAAAAAAAAGACAAGAAAAAAAGACATAGTTGATTCGTGCACCACGGCACGTCCGTTCGATGTGAACGCCCACCGACTCGCGTCGGTCGTACTTTGTACTCGCGTGATTGGCGCGCTGAAATAATCAGCTTGTTGTCGAGCGTCGCGGCCGAGCGTGCACGGCTCGTTTCGTTTGATGTACGGCTGTAATTTCAAAGTGTCTGGAATTCACGTGTATGACACGTTCGCGTCGTACTGTGTGATTCGAGCCGGCCGCGCGAATCCTTTCCCGAAGAGAAAAGGTAAGGTAGAGAGAAAAAAATTTTTTTTCCCTTTCTTCCCGCGACACGCACGTCGTAAAAAGAACGAGGAACGGCTTCAAAGATAAGCCGAGTGGAAACCTTATCGTTGCACATCGACTTGCCTTCTATAGTTTCGTAACGCCTGACGATTATTACTTTACGTTGTCGAGCCACGGGCGATACGTATACCTCTCTCGTACAGAAAGGAAAAAGAAGAAAAAGAAAAAAAGAAAAAGTAAGAAAGAAAAAGAACACGTGACTTTAAATCATTTCGATAATAACATCTATTAATTACAAAATGATATGATATGAATAAATAAAAATCTCTCACTCACCAATTATTAACTTGAAGAATCGTCAACCCCGTGTCCTGTGCCAGTTGTTTCTTCTGATCCTCCGAGGGGTACGGATGCTGTAAATAAAAAAAGAAAAGAAATTCAAGAATTTAGGTCAAAGTCCATCCTCACGTGGATTCGTCGCGAATCGTTAACATCACGAGGAGAAAATTTCCATTCCGTATGTCCCGGAGGCGGCCCTGAGAACGTTTTACGTTCGATCCGGACGCTTAATGAACGCAACAAGGTAAGAATAAACGTTCCGTGAAGGCGCGCATCGCGCTATTTCGCGCGTCTACTCCGAGTGATTTACAGGGCACGTGCACGCGTTCTCTTTTTCTTTTTCTTTCTCTCTCTCTCTCTCTCTCTTTCTCTCTCGTTCTTTCTCTTTTTCTTTCTCTTTCTCTATCTTTCTTTCTCATCCACGGAGGACAATTTCTACCTACGCGAAAAGGGGGAGAAAGAAAGAGAGAAAGAGAAAGAGAAAGAGAGAGAGAGAGGGGGAGAGAGGAAGATGCTTGGAGCGTTGCAAATGTCAGAACGCACCTGCGAAAATATTATTTATTACTGACTAACAACAACAACAACAACAATAACAACAACAACAACAACAAGGACAACGACGATGACGATGACGATGACAAGGATAACGTCGACAACGATGAAAAAGGAAGGCTGCGAAACGGAGCTGGAATGAAGGAAGACAGACAGAGCACTTGAACGTAGTATATACCACTCTCAAGCAGGACAAGACAGGACGCCCAAGTTTTATCACGTTGTTGCATCAGTGCAGATGCGCGCTTCCGCGCTCTCTGTTCGTCCTTTTTGAATACAGGAAAGATCGTACTACTTCTTTCGTATTTTCCTTAGATTAGATAGAAAGAGAGAGAGAGAGAGAGAGAGAGAGAGAAGGAATTTTACGAGACAGCGATGTAAAATTATGAGGAGTCAGATGACGGAGACATATGTAGAACGTCAGGAGACTTTGGAATAATAATTTACATGAGTCTAAATAAAGAATTCCACGGAATTGAAACTGAATTTTTATGTTTATATTAATATCTTACAAGTTTTAATAATATCGAATTCTTTGATATTAAAAATCATTTCTCCTCGAAAGTTTCAAAGAAACAAGAATAATTTCACAAAAGTAAAGGATCTAAAAGGTATAAGGAAAGATGGGACACGAGGCATGTTTCAGGAAGCAGGCCGAGTCACGGTTAAAACGAAAGCGAGTGTGTCGCGAGTTTACGGTGAAATAGGAGGTGGATGGATGAGGGATGGCCTTCTCGGATATTCCATCGTTCTTGCGGCACGGCTCCATAAATTCGTGTATAAATCTGGACGGTTCTCATGCGGGGAAGTTACTGCGGGCATTAATTTTGCACTTGCGGCCGGCCGTACGCGCGTCTTTCGAACGTTCTTGCTCGCGGGTGACGGCCAAGACGCGTATCTACTTACATACCTATGATGTATATATATATATATATATATATATATATATATATATGTATATATATATATATATGTATGTGTATAAGTACATACATACTGCGATCTTTTGAAGGAAAGATACCAGACGACTTTTGCACGCGCGCCTTTACGTCAAACTACGCCGAAAGCTATGCTCTCTCTCTCTCTTTCTCTTTCTCTTGCTCTCTCTTTCTTCGTCTCTTTTCCTTTTATTATTCGTTATTCGCGAGGACGACATTAACCTTTCACATTTTCACGAATTCAAGGACGAAAATCCCGATTCTTTATGATCCATTAAATTAAAGATTAATTTTTATGATATCTTAAGCGATACGAAAGATAAGAAACACAAATCCGAAATCATGGAGATATTAATCGCGGATATATAAGCGAGATCGTGACTACATCTCCATTTCAGTACGCGTATTCGCGTCAGCGGCCTTTAAAAGCGGACATAAAGGCAACCTTAACCGCATCGAGTGTGCAACAAAATGCGCATCGGAAGCAATACACCGTAGATACATACACATATACATACATATACATATACATGTACATATACATATACCGTTGAATGTAAGAGAACGGGGGCCGAAGGGTATCTCGTTTACGCAGAAAAGCAACGCGAGAGAGCGTGTAACGCAAGCGGCCGAACCGCATCATATTTTTACATAATTAGCACGTGGTGCTCGTAGTATTAGGTTGCCCCGTCGTTACTTTTTGCCGAGGCCTGCGGTATTTTTGGAAACCGCCGTGGGCCTCGACGTACCCCCATCCCTCTCACACTAACTCTCTCTCTCTCTCTCTCTCGATCCTGGTATATCATGTTTCTTGGAGGCGAGCCATACCGTACATCGTACACTACGGGAACGTGGCTCTATACCCTCTTCCAGCACCACCCGAAAAGCCCATTGTGAGTCGGCTGCGTGTATACGCGATCCGAGCGATTCTTATCCTAATTAAATCGGCGGAGTGCATTGTCTGGGCGTAGAATTTCTATCGGATCTCGTCTCTACCAAGTGTATAT